CTTTTGAAACTATTGTGAATTTTATAGCTTTTTAATTGTCTAAAAATTTTGAATTTTTTTGAAAGATGAAATTTCAAATCTGAAACTAAGATAAATCCGAGAGAGATAGACCACATTTTGAAAAAAGTGCTGTGAAATTATGAAGTTTATTTCACTTCAATGTTTTTTTTTTCATGAGAAAACTTATAAAAGGAACTTTTAAAAAAGTACATAAAAAATATATTCAGATGTGTAAGTGCCCATCTGTCTCAGTGGTCAATTTCCACCCTACCTATGAGTACACGACCTGATTTCAGTAATCAACCCATATTTCAGTTTTTCAGTAGAAATCGCCAAACAAGCACTAATCACAAAAACATCCGGTTCGGTTCCAAGTTTCTCGTTCAATTCCTCGTGCTTTCTCAACGAAGTCTCAAATTCGGTTAAACAAGCCGTCAAAAGCTCCCTTTGTGTCTTTTCGTTCCTCCAGAGGATGTTGTAAGGCCTCCAACGCGAAATAAATTGAGTCATTTCCTGCACCAAGAAGTTAAATATCTTGAAACAGAAATTTTACCACAACCTGTTTCATGTCTTGGGTACAAATCGACAACAAAGATAGAGTCTTCATGACTTCCTTATTCTCCATAACAAAACTGTGAAAATTCTTGTGTTGGAAGGGAAACATCGGCTTTTCCTCCGTCGCAAGTCGATACAATTTCCTTCTTCTCGTCCTGAAATCCTCCTCTTTGGTGGGGACCACTCCTTTGGGCGCTTTCTGACCCATTCGTGAACGAGTTACAATATCCATTAAATTGGACGTGGGGCCAGCTAATTTTTTCCATACTGACTTTTTGGGGACTGGAGTCTTGCAGGCCGTAATTTACAAAGCCGGGAGGGAAGTGTCAAATGTCGTGATGTTTGTAAACATTGAATATATACAGTGAGGTGTGTAATTAAGTGTAGAGTGAATGATGTTTTTTTTTTGGGAAAAGGAAAAAACTTTATTAATCTTTGGTTCAAATGCTTTCAACAGTTGTAAAAGTTTCATGCTTCTACTACTTCACTTACTTGTTTCTTAAAACTTGTACAACTGTCTCCTGGTGGCTTTTAAAAAAATTTATTGTAGTGAGAAATTTTTTTATACGGCTAAACCCCACATTAGAAGTATTGTGATATCTAAAATTTTGTTTATAGCCATAATTCTGGTCAGGTTCTGCTCAATTAAAATATTTTCAAGATGGCAGCACTTCCGATTACACCGGAAATAGGTTTAACTTTGTTATTTGCAATAGAAAGTTATGTTTTTTATTGCCTTTTCGATCACTTAAGTGATTTTGAGAGAGTTTTTATTAGCCTTCCCTATACTTAAATTTAACCGTTTTTGAAATATTTAGTTTTTTTTGAAATTTGCATTTTCTTCTCTAAAAATCGATAACTCGACCATTTTTAAGTATTTTGAAATCGTATTTGGGAGTAGGAAAAAGAAAGGTTACAACTTCCCTATACCTAAATTTAACCCTTTTTGAAATATGTACATTTTTTTCTATTTTTTTTTATTTACCACTTCCTCTAGAAAAATCGATAATTTTTTAATTATTTTAAATTCGTTTTTGGAAGTATGAAAAAGAAAAGTTAGATCTTTCCTCTCGTGTATTTATAACTTCCCTATACCCAAATTTAATCGTTTTTGAAATATTTAGATTTTTTTCAATTTTTTTTTAATTTGCATCTTCCTTTCCAAAAATCGATAACTCGACCATTTTTAATTATTTTGAAATCGTATTTTTGGAGTACGAAAAAGAAAGGTTAGATCTTTCTTTTGGTGTATTTCTAACTTTCCTATAGTTAAATTTAACCGTTTTTGGAGTGTTTAGACTTTTTTGATTTTTTTTAATTTGCATTCGCCTCTCCAAAAATCGATAACTCGACCATTTTTAATTATTTTGAAATCATATTTGGGAGTATGAAAAAGAAAGGTTAGATCTTTTCTTTGGTGTATTTATAAGTTCCCTATACCTAAATTTAACCATTTTTGAAATACTTAGACTTTTTTGAAATTTTTTTAATTTGCCTCTTCCTCTCCACCATTCTTAATTATTTTGAAATCTTATTTGGGAATATGAAAAAGAAAGGTTATGTCTTTCTTTTGGTGTATTTATAACTTCCTTATACCTAAATTTAACCGTTTTTTAAATGTTTAGACTTTTTTGATTTTTTTTAATTTGCATCTTTTCCAAAAATCGGTAATTCCACCATTTTTAATTATTTTGAAATCGTATTTGGGAATACGAAAAAAAGGTTAGATCTTTTCTTTGGTGTATTATTTATA